ACAAGCGTTTATCATCCTCTTCCTAAAACATTCAAAAACGTAAATATTTAAGCAAATGTTCTCTTTCCTTTCATCTTTTTTCATATTTTGCTTTGAATGTTTTCTACATTCATTTTAGAGCTACTCTAATATGTTACTATTGTTTTAAAAGTATAGAAACTCTCATAGGATGTAACAGTCTACTGAACACTGGAGTAATGTAAAGTATAGCAAAAAGAATATATTCGAATCCTACATACAAATTAACATCCCCCGTCTCATTGTCAGTTAGCCTGGCAGACTGACAGACCACAACGTGCCTCGGTTAGTTCAGGGACCGTGCTCACTTATTTCTCTGCTGCACGGACTCTGCCACGTGTTCATTATCTACCCAGCTGCAGTTTAACACCTCCCATGGATCAAGCACCGTGCTTTAAATACACATTTCCCTTCATCCTCACACTCATCCTATAAAGCTGGTGTTACCATCATCTCCATGTGACGGGTGAAGGGGAGAGGTCACTGAACTTGCTCAGGGATCTACAGCTAGGACACAGGAGAGCCACAACTGAGCCCAAGCCCGTTAGACCGAATGCTTGTTCTCTTCGCCATGTCACATGGCTTCTCCTTGTCTTCACGGATGTTCTAATGCTACTTCATATGTTTGTTTTATGTCCTACAAATCAATTCTAAGTTTCCCTTTAAAGCGTATCTGTTTCTTACCTAACCCTAGCAGAAGCTTATTTTAAAATATTATAAATAGCAATATTTGTGACAACGAAAGAAAATACACATGAAGTAGGAGGCAATTTTAATACAAGAAATGGACTTGGCCAGTCTAATCATTTTTTCTGCTAAAAAGAAGGCAGTAGTAAGCTTTCTGGCACCAAAGAATCTAATACAAACGTTCACAATCGTGTTACCTGCCGGAGCTGGAAGATGCCTCCTGTTGGGACGTCCTTTGCAGAAATCACTTCTACAGGGCAGTATTCACCATTCTCATTCTGTTCCAAGATTTGAACCCAGAATTCCAATTTCCTGGTGACTTCACTCCATCTAGGAAATAGTTGAAGTTCTTGGAAAATCACACATTTCAATTTCAATACAGCCAGCTTAGGACCCTCTGCCTAAGAATTAACAATGAAAATGACCTCCAGAGTAACTCAGTAGAGCGATCTGTACTCCAACCAGTAACGTAAAAGTACATGCTGGCAAATATAATGAACAGCAAAGTTAAACCAAGAATCAGAGCTAGAAATGGCTCCTTTATTTTATTCAAAAAGATATAATGACAAGTCTATTTCTAAGTGATTATTCAAAACCTGGGACATTCTAATCAGATGCGCAGAAGCAAGTGCAGGATTATCTCGTCACGCACAGATAAAGGTGGTGCCGTACGCACATCAGCGACTGGCCAGGTATCTTTTCTCAGGTCAACGAGAGAAGCAAGAAAAAAAAGTCCCACTTTCTAATTGAGTACTTGCTAAAACCCTCTAAATGCAGAAAAAGTAAAAAGAAAATCTGGTTGTCATCTCTAAGTAGATGAAAAGTACACATGCGATTTCAGAGATTCCCTTTTAACTCTTCCTAATACGTCAACAAGCAAGCCCACCGCTCTCCATCACGGACGCCGCCCACACAGAACTGTGAGCAGAAGACAAAGTCACGTGACCCCCAGAGTAGATCCTGATCCACTCTCCACAGCTGATTAGACGCCATTGTTTAACGGTAAGTGACCATTCTCCGAAACTCATTTCGCTGTTTCTTCTTAAACAGCTACACATTTAATCTTCTTCCGCCAGTCCTCACAGTCGCCTGCCCTAAGGAAGTGTAACTGTGTGATTCACGCCCTGGGGACACCGCCATCCGTCCCTGGAACGCTGGCAACACTCGGGAAATTAGTAGCAATTTTTAGAAATTATAAATGGGACCAGATGAACATCTAATATTCACCTGTCCCGAAGACTCCGTGTTTTTGCCTGGATGATTCCCAAGTCCCACAGGGCCGGGTTTTTGCACGGGTCGTTCATTTTATGTCCATATACTTCAATCGCCAGCGCTCCCTCTGAGAGATGCTCGATGAAGTCTTCAGTGATGTTAACAGAAAACTCCTGAAACACAACAGCTCATTACATGACAGCAAATACTTTCTGGTAAACTTACGATGATCTACACCAGACGACACATACTTAATTATATCATGCGGAAGAGAAACAGAAAACAGAATGTTTTAGTTATAGAGCAGTCATCTAGACACCCATGAGTGCTCAGATGGCCTGAGGTTTTTGACTTTAAAAATAACTACAATTGTGAACTTCTAAAACTCTTCCCCTTGAAAGTCTAGTATGAGAGACCAATATTGTGCTCTATTTTGTTAGCAATATTTTGGGAGCTATGTTTAAAAGTATAATTATATTAAGTATACAGCAATGATCCATAATGTCTCGGTGGAAAAGTTATCACGTGCAAGGTGGCAGTGGGTTGAAAAAAGATTTTCCCCACTTTTTAGAAAGTTAACTGTCTCTAATAATAGGAGACAAAGGAAATAATGATCATTAATGCAAAAAAGACTTACTTTTTAAAAATTCTCCCAACCTGTCCATCTTTATAAGATAGCATTCCACACAAGGATTTAGCTCTAAAACCATTTATTAAAGAAAGTCGTGGAATCTCCTGTCTCTGTTGGTGTCTCCTCTCTCCCTCTCTCCCTCTTTAATGCGCTGAAGGTATCTCTGATTTAAACAGATTTGAAAGAGGCCTCTCTCTTGAAAAAAATGAGATGGCTCAAGTGCGGTGCAGGAGCAAAGACGACTCCAAAACGGGACAGTCCAGATTCTGCCCGTCACTAGCCATGGGCAAACTGACCTCTCCGAACTGGTTTTACAGCTGAAAGAAAATTTCTCCAGTCATCTCATACAAAACAGATTTCTTTTGGAGAAGAGTAAGCACAGATATCTAC